GCGCTGCCGTAGTTGGTTGACACCAGTTGACATCTGCATTTTATGTGGGGGGCTTTTTTTCCCAGCCTGGCTTTGTGGCTTTTGTGGCTTTTGTGGCTTCTGTGGCTTCTGTGGCTTTTGTGGGTGTGTGGCTTTTGTGGCTTTACCATGGTTTATCTATCTATCTATCTATCTGTCTGTCTGTCTGTCTGTCTGTCTGTCTGTCTGTCTGTCTAATCTATCTAATCTATCTAATCTATCTAATCTATCTAATCTATCTAATCTATCTAATCTATCTAATCTATCTAATCTATCTATCTATCCATCTATCTATCTATCTATCTATCCATCTATCTATCTATCTATCTACCTATCTATCTATCTATCTATCTAATCTAGCCTTATTAACCTAATCTAATCTTACCTAATCTTATCTAATCTTGTTTCATTTTATCTTGTTTTATCTTGTTTTATCCTATCCGATCTATCTAACCTATCCAACCTATCTAATCTATCTAATCTATCTAATCTATCAAATCTATCTAATCTAATCTATCTAATCTAACCTACCTAACCTATCTACTGACCTCTCTATTTAATCTATCTATTTAGTCTATTTATTTAATCTCTCTATTTAATCTGTCTATTTAATCTGTCTATTTAATTTGTCTGTGTAATCTATCTATTTAATCTATCTATTTAATTTATCTATTTAGTCTATTTATTTATTCTATCTTTTAATTTATCTATTTAACCTAATCTAATCTAACCTAATCCTACTAATTTCATCTCACCTCACCTAGCCGAACCTAACCTAACCTATCTATCTATCTATCTATCTACCTACCTATCTATCTATCTATCAATCTATCAATCTATCAATCTATCGATCTATCAATCTATCAATCAATCAATCAATCAATCTATCTATCTATCTATCTGTCCATCTATCTGTCTATCTACCTACCTACCTATCTATCTATCTATCTACCTATCTATCTACCTATATATCTATCTATTATACACACCTTGTATCCCTACATGTACCTTAATCCAACCCTCGACAGACTTTAAATCGACCATAAACCAACCCTAAATAACCATAAATAGCCCTAAATAACACTAAATACCCTAAACCAACCATAAACCAACTCAACATAACCCTCCCTAAACCAACCCTAAACTAAATAACCCTAAACCAACCCTAAATAAACCCTAAACCAACCCTAAATAAACCCTAAACCAACCCTAAACCAACCCTAAACAAACCCTAAACCAACTCTAAATAATTTTAAATAAACCATAACCCAACACTACATAAACCCTAAACCAACCCTAAACCAAACCTAAATAAACCCTAAATAAACCCTAAACCAACCCCAAATAAACCCTAAACCAACCCCAAATAAACCCTAAACCAGACCTAAACATAACCTAACAGAAAAGGATGCTGTGCGCCCGTGCGTTTTGCACTGTTTTCCTTGCAGTGTTTTGCAGTGTTTTCCTCTTGCAGTGTTTTCACATCATCAAAGGGCCACAATAGGCCACAATATGCCCAAATATGCCAAAATAGGCCACAAAGGTCTAAATAAACAAAAAACAAAAAAGACCAACAAAAACCAAAAAAAACAACTAGACGACGGATGGCCCGAGAGCGTAGAGGAGCAGGGTCTTCTCTTGTTAGTATGGAGACACAATTGTACAAACAATATATGAAAGATATGTTATAGGCAGTCGAGAAGAGGAGTAGCAAGACAAAATAGTGAGAATTTGCATCGCAAACACTTTTACACACAGACGCTTTTACACACAAAAGCTTTTACACACAGAAGCTTTTACACACAGAAGCTTTTACACAGAGGCTATTACACACAAAGCTTTTACCCACAGAAGCTTTTACATACAGACGCTTTTACAGACAGATGTTTTTACACACAGACGCTTTTACACGGACACTTTTACACACAGACACGTTTACACACAGACACTTTTACACACAGACCTTTTTACACACAGGAGCTGCTTTTACACACAAACGCTTTGACACACACAGAAGCTTTTACACATAGACGCTTTTACACACAGGCACTTTTACACACAAACACTTTTACACACAAACACTTTTACACACCCGCAGCAGTGCTCATTTCTCGTAACTGATCTCGACCGATCTCGGCCAGAGCTCCTCCCAGCCAATCCAATCCCCTGCTGGCAGCTTCCCCTTGCAACCGCCGCAGCTCTTCTCCCGGCTGACGAGCAGCTGCCTCCAGAGTTGTTTAACCAACCATCCAATGTCTGAGAAGCGCGCTCCGATACAGCAACAAGCAATCATAACCAGAAACAAACATGATCGCAGGCAACCAAAGACATGGCATGTTTGCGCCCACTCCAATCCCCTGCTGCACCCATCCTCGACAAAACGCTGCAACTTCTCTCGAGGCTGCGACATGACACAAGTGCAAAAACGTACCTGAACGGTACCCGCCTCTCAGACAGTTCCGGTTAAAACGGGCCGTTCCCTCACTTGTGACAATGTAAGTCTTAATCAAAACAAACGTGTGACGTGGCATCAGTTGGATCTCTAAAATGTGACTGTGTAGGTCCATGATGGTCACATGCCTGCACGGTACCCGTCTCTCAGACAGTTCCGGTTGAAACGGGCCGTTGAATCCATTGAATGTGAAAATACCACTGCAGCTTAAGTTAAAACCATGACAGAACTTGTTATCCAGGACCTTGAGCCGCAATCAAAATGAAATAGTAGTGATGCCGTCAAAAATCGTAGTGAAATGAAGACGAATGAAGTGATAGTCTGATAGTTTTCCATACAGATAGTCTCTATGCATATGTGAAACAAGCTGCGTCCGCGCCGAGGGCTCGTGCAAGCGAGCGCAGTGATTGGATATTTTGGAAGTGTCTTCACAAATGAAAATCTGCGGGTCTTAATCAAAACAAACGTGTGACGTGGCATCAGTTGGATCTCTAAAATGTGACTGTGTAGGTCCATGATGGTCACATGCCTGCACGGTACCCGTCTCTCAGACAGTTCCGGTTGAAACGGGCTGTTGAATCCATTGAATGTGAAAATACCACTGCAGCTTGAGTTAAAACCATGACAGAACTTGTTATCCAGGACCTTGCGCCGCCATCAAAATGAAATAGTAGTGATGCCGTCAAAAAACGTAGTGAAATGAAGACGAATGAAGTGATAGTCTGATAGTTTTCCATACAGATAGTCTCTATGCAAATGTGAAACAAGCTGAGTCCGCGACAGATGCTCCACAGGTTCAGCCGAGGGCTCGTGCAAGCGAGCGCAGTGATTGGATATTTTGAAGTGTCTTCACAAATGAAAATCTGCGGGTCTTAATCAAAACAAACGTGTGACATGGCATCAGTTGGATCTCTAAAATGTGACTGTGTAGGTCCATGATGGTCACATGCCTGCACGGTGCCCGTCTCTCAGACAGTTCCGGTTGAAACGGGCTGTTGAATCCATTGAATGTGAAAATACCACTGCAGCTTGAGTTAAAACCATGACAGAACTTGTTATCCAGGACCTTGAGCCACCATCAAAATGAAATAGTAGTGATGCCGTCAAAAATCGTAGCGAAATGAAGACGAATGAAGTAATAGTCTGATAGTTTTCCATACAGATAGTCTCTATGCATATGTGAAACAAGCTGAGTCCGCGACAGATGCTCCACAGGTTCAGCCGAGGGCTCGTGCAAGCGAGCGCAGTGATTGGATATTTTGAAGTGTCTTCACAAATGAAAATCTGCAGGCCGCACAGTTCGGTCATTCTGAGTGCATTTGCGCACACAGACTTATTTACACAACGATGCCCCTACACACAGACACTTTCACACACAGACACTTTTACACACAGACGCTTTTACACACAGACGCTTTTACACACAGACACTTTTACACCGCTTTTACACACAGAAGCTTTTACACACAGACGCTTTTACACACAGAGACTTTTACACGCAAAAGTTTGCACACAAACAGTTTTACACACAAACACTTTTACACAGAGACGCTTTTACACACAGAAGCTTTTACACACAGACACTATTACACACAGACGCTTCTACACACAGACGCTTTTACACACAGACGCTTTTACACACATCGCAATTTTACTTCAGTTTTTGGCGATCCAACCTCATTTCGTGCGACAGGGACGTGCGAAAGGGTCGCGCGGGACAAGTTGAAATCGCACTTGAAATCGCAATTTTACCTCAGTTTTTGCCGATCGAACCTCATTTCGTGCGAAAGGGTTGCGCGGGACAAGTTGAAATCGCAATTTCACCTCAGTTTTTGGCGATCGAACCTCACTTTGTGCGAAAGGGTTGCGCCGGACGACTTGAAATCATAATTTCACCTCAGTTTTTGACGATCGAACCTCATTTCGTGCGAAAGGGTTGCGCCGGACAAGTTGAAATCGCAATTTTACCTCAGTTTTTGACGATCGAACCTCATTTCGTGCGAAAGGGTTGCGCGGGACAAGTTGAAATCGCAATTTTACCTCAGGTTTTGACGATCGAACCTCATTTCGTGCGAAAGGGTTGCGCGGGACAAGTTGAAATCGCAATTTTACCTCAGTTTTTGACGATCGAACCTCATTTCGTGCGAAAGGGTTGCGCGGGACAAGTTGAAATCGCAATTTTACATCAGTTTTTGGCGATCGAACCTCATTTCGTGCGAAAAGGTTGCGCGGGACAAGTTGAAATCGCAATTTTACCTCAGTTTTTGACGATCGAACCTCATTTCGTGCGAAAGGGTTGCGCGGGACAAGTTGAAATCGCAATTTTACCTCAGTTTTTGGCGATCGAACCTCATTTCGTGCGAAAGGGTTGCGTTTCGTGCCGTCTCGTTGCCACTGCCCCTGCTCCCGCCTTCAAGAAAGAAATAGAAAAGAAGGAGAGGGCAAGAGGGCAAGAGGGCAAGAGGAGAAGGTGTGAGATGAGAAGATGTGAAAAGATGTGAGAAGATGTGAGAAGATGAGAAGATGTGAG